CAGCGCCGCGCTGTGCGGGGGCATCTGCTGCGGGAGCGAAGCCATCGCCCCCCCCAGAGGCACCTGTCCCCGCGCGCCGCTCGCGCTCTCCGTGGTTTGCTCGGCTAGGAGCACCTCAGGTTTGTTTCGTCGGTTATGCCCTCAGGGTGTGTCCTACTTGAGGGGTAAGTTTTATTCCCAATGGCTATAACCAAATAAAAAGTGTAGTCCTCAAGACTTTAGTGGTATTGTTCTATGGCTTAATTAATTCTGTTAGTGTTTTAAAAATACCCCATCACAAATTGGAGAGGAGGAATGGATATTTTTTGGTAGATCTAAGCAAGTGTGTAGGGCTGTGAGGATCTGACAAATGGCAACTTCTTCCGGAAAGGTTTTTTTTTTATTATTTTTCAAAGTTTTGAATGGAAAAAGACTGAAGGCTCCTTGCACTGAAAAAAAGAGCTTTATCAAATTAGAACAAAATTAATCTACATTGTTCCTAGGGCACAAGACTATGATTAGTACTGATACAATTAATTTTTTTATTACCTGACATACAAGCTCTACTGAAATGCTTCATTTGAACAAAAAGCTATGGCTCAGGCTGGCTGGTTTTATAGTTAATGTCTTTTTCTTTTTTGACAGGAACCTTTACTTGCCAAAATGAGACACAATCTGGTGTGTCAGACACCTCCCACAGTCACTGTTCACGTAAAACTGAGTGCATCCAGATCACATCAGAAAAAAACCCTTATTAGACTAAAGCGACCTGTTTCTAAAGACCATGAAGAAAATGTTGAAAAAAAGGTTCCTAGTCATAAATATAAATGTCCAAAGGGCCCATGTCTAGTTATTCAGCGTCAGGAAATGACAGCTTTCTTTAAGTTATTTGGTAGGTTAATAATGAGTGATATCAATGTTTTGACAGAACAGTAGAAAACTATTAAGCACGTATGTTGTCTAAAGTCAAGAATTTTGGGAGTGCTTTTTATGTAGATACTGATGGCCACATCTTCATCTAAATGTATTTTGTTATATTTTAGTGCATAAATCCTTAATTTAAAAATGCAAGAATGGCTACCAAAATGATGAAAAGTAGCTTTCTAATTACAAATGAAACCAAGGTGGTATGATACTTCCTTTTATGATCATTTCCCTTTCCTTTTCATTTTCTCTTATATTTCAACAAATACATGTAAAACAACGCACATCTTGTTTTACAGAAGGCTTAAGGAAGGTTGGATTCCCAGTTTTACAAAGTCTTATAAACACATTATTTATTGTGGGAATAAACATTTTGGGGGAGAAGTGCAATGGGAAGAAAATCTGAGGAATTGTAGCATCTCTTTTCTGTTTGTGTCTCCTTCGTATAAAGTTTTGTACTAATGAAGAGGTTAAGTAATAGCAGAAGATCACCACTGGGTTTTCTCTGCACCTTGAATACAGAAGTCAATAAGTTTGTGGTAACCCCATTTCGGTACGTGCTTACAGTGATGACTGGCCACAGATAAGCAAGAGTTGCTTTATCAAGGCCGTCAGGTAATCGAGGAGCAGAGATCTCAACAGTCTGTGGTTCACCAGACCTAACAGTATGCTATTGGATGGAACCACTTAATGCAGGAAAGAAGTTACACAAGTACCAAAAATACTGGTGGTTTTTCACCTTCACTGGCCATTACTGAGAATGAAGGAAATGCAGTCACTGGATTTTCCACCTTGCCTTTCTGATAGTTTGTCTTCCTTTGTCACTTAAGTTTTTTCATATCTAATCTTTCTCCTCTCAGTTTCTCCTCTGCTAGGTCTGCCTTCTTTCTTTTTATTTGGTTTAACGTTTGTTTACAAATACTTTCTAACAAGTGTTAGAAATGCTACAAATTTCTTTTGTTGCAGATGATGATCTAATCCAAGACTTCCTTTGGATGGACTGCTGCTGTAAAATTGCAGACAAGGTAAGTGTATTTCTTTGTTAACAGAATATATATATAAAAAGAGTGAAAAATCTGCCCTTAATCACTTGATACTGTGATGTGAGGAGGGGCAGTAATTTTTTTTCAATATGTTCGTGTGGAAGCTTCAGGGAACCCCATTTATGTTTTCGCTTTGATAAAAATGATCAAAATATCTTGGTGCGAGATAAACGTGGAATGCTTTTTAGGAAATTATATACTGAAATAATATATTGATACTTCCTTTTACATTTTGAAACAGTATCTCTTGGCAATGACTTTCGTTTATTTCAAGAGAGCTAACTTTGAAACAAATGAACATACCAGAATCAATTTCTTTGTTGCTCTGTAAGTACTTTTAAATTATCTGGGTTTATTAGCACAAACTTTGCATTATTGAATTCCTTTGTTTTTGCCACTGGTAATTATGATAGGTGATGTGACTTTTTTAATGAGCGTGTAGTTGTTTGGGTTCTAGGTGAAGTACAGAAACGTAATCTATGTGCCATGTATTAATTGTGCAAATCCATTGTTTTTCCTCTGATCATCTCCTGTGTGGAGCACACTCAAGCAGCAGTGAGGGGACATTTGTGTTGGTGCATAGCCTAGCATTCTGCCCACCAAACAAAATCCAACTGTTTTAAGCATTACAATAAATGTATGCAGGACGATACACTGCAACGTAAACGTGGCTCTCGCTTCCTCTTAAAAGACCCTATTTTTCTGTCCTTGCCAGCCGTTAAGGCATTTATTTGTACCTAAATATTTCATTGTGATATGCACCTGGGGAGTAACTTTTTATTAAAGTTTCTGTCAACATGATTTGTGTCAACTGTAAAAATGTTCCTAAAGAATTTCTGAGAACTTTTTGTAACAGTCCTAAAATGTCTCTACTTTGAGGCAGAGGTGCAATCAGAGTCTGGCGTTCCCACGCCTGTATCATCTCTCCACGTTTGGCCATAGCTGCAGAGTGCTGCAGCAGCAGTCCCGGTGCCGGGGAGCTCGGGCTGTTTCTGTCGCAGCGCTTCGCAGGTGCTCCGGTTCGGGTGCTGCTGTGGGGAGAAGGACGGTCCCTTCTCCTCGGGGAAGGGGTACTGTGGGGAGCAGCCACAGAGCAGGGAGGAGCAGGAGTCTGACTCTACTGAAGGGAGAAAAGCCAGGCCAGAAGAAAGGGACAAAGAGTCTGGCGAGACTGGAACTAGAGGGGATACTGGAGTTAGGAACAAGTGAGAAAACTGGAGAGGAGACAAAAAGTCGTAATTTTGGGGGGTATGATTTGTGGTTCAGTATCAGGTTGCTCCAGATGAAAAATATTTTCTTGTTGTCTGAGAAGATGACCCAGAAGCCAAAGTAGCAATATAGTGAAGGAAGGCAGAAGTACAGACATGGAGAAAAATCATTGAAGGTTTTAATTTATACATGAAGGTAGACCTGTATTTAGTTATTTGCTGCTAGTTTAATGAAAGCAACACGATTTTCCAAGAATAGTTAAAATCCCTAAAGTAGAAAATGTGGAGTTTAAGATTTCATAAGATAGTTTTAAGCTTTATCTAGAGAATAAGTCAGAAACTGTTGACTTTAGTGCAAGGGCATCTTGCGAGTTTGGAGAAAGCTCTTAGGATATGTTAGTTCTTGCATATCTACTAATTTAGGAGGCTCTAGAGTAAAGCAATTTTTGTAATAGCTTAAGTTTTATTTACCCAAAGGACACATATGGAACTTTCTGATTGAGAAAATACTGTACTCCAGAGAGAGGGTTGTATTTTGTTAGCAATTTTCCCCACAATATTAAGAGATAGGACTACTCCAATACTGTGTCTTTTAATGTTAGAAAATATGCTAATATAGTGACTTAAGACCAAGCAACATTTACAGACACAAACATGTATATATATATATTTGAAGGTATCTGGCAAATACAGTTGAAGAAGACGATGAAGAATCCAAGTATGAGATTTTCCCATGGGCTTTGGGAAAAGCCTGGAGAAAGCTCTTCCCTGATTTCTTAAAGTTAAGAGATCAACTGTGGAGTAGAATTGACTACAGGGCTATTGTAAGCAGACGCTGCTGTGAAGAGGTAGGGAGGGTTTTAATATTCCACACGCTGCCATCTCAACCACTAACACCAGCTAGCAATCTAGCTCCACACAGATTATTTCTTCCCTGAAGTGTGTAGGTAAACTAGAATATTTTTACACTGCACTACTGTTAAAAGTGAAGTTTTTATTGACTAGATTTTTTTCTGCTTTATGTAAGTATTTTTATTTAAAGTTTACCATAGGCGGTTTCACTTCACTTTAGAAATAATTTTGTATTTGCTTTACAAATTATGAGTTTGTACACAAGTAAAACCTTCAAATAAAAATCCCAGCATGTCAGGTGAGATTTTAATCCCCTTAAAATTAGTAATAGAACTTCAAATGATGTTTTAAGGGAAGGGTTTTTCACAGCATTTAAAAAAAACTCAGAAGCACACACTTCAAACATTCTCTACCATTAGTGCAGTGTTACAACCTATGTTTTTCAAATATATTAGGAGGGGGGGAAAAAAGACATTCCTCATTTTTCAGGTGTAATGTGTCTGTCTGGAAAAGCTCTGTCACGTTCTAAGAACATGAAGTTTACAGTAGGTTGCAGAAAAGAAATTCTCATTTACTCTAGAATCACAGCTCTGGGGGTGGGTCTGGGTGCTTATGGGAAAAGGAGAAGGAAGAAGGCAAGTGTGGAATGCTTTTCCCAGCATACACTCCCAGCTTCCAACAGTGATACTGAGTAAAAGACTCCATCTTCAGCCCAGCGTGCAAGCACAGGCTGGTATTTGTAATGATTCACAGGAATAGACAAGGCTGTAAGGTGTTTCCACACCCGGTTCCTAGGAGGGTCACGTAACTCATGGCTCAGGTAGCAAGCCTGCTAGTGAGCAGAGGCAGCTGGGTAAGGGGCGATGCCCGCTCTGTGCCGCGCGCCAGTCGGATCCCCCTTGCTCAGTTGCGCGCTCCCTGTTGTGTTCCCGGCCCCTGCCGCGGCGGCTGCGCTGACAGGTGATGGCCATCGCTCCGACGCACTACGCCTGGCAGCGGGAGCGCTCCGCGCACCACAGCGGGGCCGTCAGGAACTACGACGACCGAGTGCAGCTGCCCCGAGGCCCCAGCGCTACTCCTGCAGACTGCCTGCTCTGCGGCAAGAAAGGAAGATTTGTGCGACTGGGATTATCGTCGTCTTCCTCTGCATCTGCTGGCACTTTGGAGATGATGGAAATACAGTCATCCCAGGATTTGAAGGATGCCCTTCCAACTGAAAAAGCGCTCGCTGACTCTCCTTTTTATTATGCCCAAGGTATGGTTTAATATTGCAAACCATCTTCAATTAGTTTAGGCAGCTGGGGTCCTACTTGCCCTCCAGAGTACTGCGGGGAGGACCGTGTCCTTGGCACGAGAGACGCGATCTCTGCGCGAGCAGACACCCCCGCTAGGAACGCGGTTACCCCGGCAGGACCCTGCTCTCACTGCCCTCCTCTCAGTTTCACCTCTTGTCTCTTGACTCCCTGGAACTACCACTGGCCTTAGATTTTGCATCTCTTCACATAACCTTCATCTACTATGGTAGGTTTTGGATTGAGTTCCAGTCTATTTAGGCATTTATTACTATTCCTACAGTACAAATTAAATTAGGAAACCTATTTTAAATGCTTAGGAGTGGCTAGAAGAAACAGTAAAAATACTGGTGTCTGTCAAGCAAGTTAAAAGAGCGTGTTATGTGAGATACAGTGCTCTTGTCCAGAGCAGTTTTTAGAAAGAGCAGGCTCCTCAGTTGCTGTCATCACTTTAGGCATACACGAAATCACAATTCATGTTTTTCTTTAACCATCTCTCAATCACTGACAGTCCATACAAGATCTCCTTTTAAGATTGGGGTATGAATAGAATATAATGCAAGTGTTCTATGCAATTATTTTTGCACATTAATCTACTCAAAATAGTGTCCTGAGCCTTTGTATGAGAAGCCTCTGTTACATACAGCAGTTATGGAGCAAACGCTCCTTGTGTAAGAGTGGAACATGCTTGAGTGTACAAGGCCTCAGTTCTGCAAAGATACTGCCATGTGCTTAACCCCTGCAGATAGCATAGTATACTTAGTATAACTTATGTAATAGGGCTACAGTTATTTATAGCTCTATTTTTTTTGCCTCTATTCTCACCAGTATCCAAACTTTCACTGTTATAGTAGGATTGTGTTACCACCTTTGACAGCTTCAGTACAACTGTGATTCTCAAGGGATCTCTCAACTTGGAAAAAACTGGCATTTTACTCTTCCTATAGATACAGGACAGGTCAGGTTCCTGCAACGTGTAATTTAATAAATTTAATGTATTAAACATCACTATGTCCTTGTGTGGATACTTACATGAGACCCTAAAAGACTTAATTTTAAATCTGGTTTTACTTGAGACATCTTGCTTTTCATATCTGGTAAAGGTCAGGGGAAAAAAAAGTGTTCATTCTGACCCGTTTGTGAATGCTTTCTATATAGTTCACAAATAATGCTTTCTATAAAGGTCACAAATAAGCAGGGAACTTTCAGCAGAAGTGCTGGAAGTGAACTAAAGCCATACGTGCCAATAAGTGATGTTTTGAGATAAGCACAGCTGTATCAAGAGAACAAATTCAGTAGTTTTCAGTTCCTCTTACAGCTGTGCTTCAAGAAACTGATAGCCACCAGGTGGTAGCCAGTGAAGTCAGAAGCTGCTTCACTTGCATTTCAAAGGGCAAACTTTGATCCATTATTTTCTTACTAAATCTTTTTTCTCCTTATTTCTGGTAGACTGTCAGAGCCCATCCAGCAAAAAGAGACCAGGTAGGGTCTGGAACAAAGACACATCCATGGACTGGTTTACAAGCAATGAAGAGTGAAATACACCTGGTGAGAAGGAGCAGATACCGTGCTTTGCAGAACCATCTTTTGCATCATAACACCATCCTGATGATTCTTTTAAAACTCTTCCCTTTAAATAGTAGATGGGATTCCAAACTTTATATGCACTAGCAATCAAAGCAGTCATTACTTAAAAGTTACACAACTGGCAAAATTTAGGAGCTACTTTGTAACATTTTATTTTATTGAGATGAAACCCTCAAATTAGCAGCTAACATCTCAGCAGCATCAAGAATGAAGTGGTCGAAACTTTCTCAGCTTGGTAAGGAATGCTAATTAAAAAACAAAACAAGTTACTACTTCAGTATTTCAATATACAATGATTATTTTATTATTTTAAAGCTTTAAGATTTCATGATATAGTAGCATGTCAAATGCTTTTTTACTAAAAAAAAAAAAAAAAGAAAATACAACTAAAAATTTACGATAAAAACCATTTTCCGAGTGTCTCACCTGAATGAGCTTCCTGCCAACAAGACGGTCTAGCAACGTAAGGCACCGAGGAAAATGTTTCACCATCACCAGAAAATGATTCTGTGAAGAGTAATTTTTTTTTTTTTAATTCTTTCCAACAAGTTTAAAATATGCATGCAGACTAGAGTTGCCAATGTGTATGGTTTATTTTTCCCTGACGTATTTGAATAGTCTTTTTGCTTCTGTTAAAGTGCTTTTTTTGTCTCCTCTCTGGACATTCAGACCTCTTTGCACCAGTATGGAATTTGCAGATATCTTCTAGCAGAAGGCATCTTGTTTTGGCTTTGCTAGAACACCAAGACAACAAAGTAGAGCACACTGGTAACATTTCTGCTATGGAATCCTTAAGCCCACCAGGGTTCTCTAAAGCAGTGACAGGACAAGTAGAGAGGACTGAGTTTTATTTAAAAATAACATTTTGAAAACAGTAATAGAAAGGTGGTCATTCTTTACTTGCAGATTGCAGTATACTTTCTATTTAGGCTGTATTTTTAGTAAAAGAAACTTAAATAGCTATTAATATATCCTTTATCAAACCTGTCAAGGCATAGGCTGTCCAAAAGCTTGTCTATTCTTCACAACAATCTCAGCTAACCTAAGAAAAAAATACTGACTCTTCCTATAAACTTTACCTGCATTATATCCGTGGATTATCAAATTGCAGCAACAGGGTATCTCATCAGAAACAGCGCTCTTACCATTGAATTCATCTTCTTTAAGAACTACTTGATCCTGAATGTGGATTTCTTCATATTCCTTTTGAGGAGCTTCTTCAATATTTTCTTGAGTTTCCACCATTTGGCTCGATTTGCAATTCTTGATTTTAGCAGGGACTACCAACCAATTTCTATGAGTTACCTCAATGATCCTTTCACACAAAAAAGGGAGCTTGAAGGTCTGTATTCTGTCTAAAAGGCCAATAACCTGTGTGATACTTTTGAAGAAACACAAAGGATAAAGTAGTATTTCAAGAACTCAAATCATACACTGTTTGTCTCAATTCTGCTGCCTTTGTCACATTCTTTACCTTTGAGTTTACCTGAGTCCTGCAGTTTTAGGGTAAAGGAGCTAGCAACCTGACTCTGAGTTGGAAAGCAGTACAGTTATTCTGAGGATGTCATTACTTGAGAACTTCCACTGACCAAAACGAGAGCATTTCCAAAGGAAAGGCCAAAGGATTTGGCCAAGTGTAATTTATACTGAGTACAACTTCCTAAAAGAAACTACATGGTGAAGAGTAATTCACATAATAATAATAATTCCTTAATGCTGGGTGTATATTTTGTAGCAGCGGTAAGCGATGCCCAAGTAAATGCCCAAGTGCCACAAGTCCATACTTACTTTGCTAAATACACAGCACACACCCCGCCCTGTTTCAGGCTTGGGTGTACAACAGGCAGAGCAATCTGAGGGTGAAGCATATCCAGAACTATCTGCCAGAGAAAGAGACATGTTTCCCCAGTAAATATTTTATACGTACCTATCTTGTCTTTCCCATAACAGTGGTTGAAAAACCAATATTTATCTACAGAAAATGAATGCATACAACAGCAGTATGTAACCACAAACCAGTTATAAAACTGCCTCTCAAAAACTTTGAGGAATCAGAGATCCACAGATACAAAAACCAAAGCCCTTGCTACTTCCTAGTTAATTTCTGTTAAACCAGTAAGTATCGTTAAACCATTAAGTATCATTTCACCAGCACATCAGTCCTGTGTTGACATTAAACCTCACACTAATTAAATTCCATAATGTTGACATTAATAAAAAGTTTTAGAAGAGTGCATTTACTAATACCTTTGGATATCTACTTTTCAAGTGTAAAAAGAAAAGTAAATGTTCAAGCACAACTTTATCATGAAAAGGTCACGCTACAGTCTCAACACCTAACTTGCTGTTTGTTTCAAGATTTAGAAAGATTGTTTCTTTGGCAGTTTATCCATCTCCTGCTAGAAAACTGTTCAAACTGTTAAAGGATGAGATACATCGTATCTGATCCTTCCTGTAGATTGTTACTTGTAAAGGTTTTTTTAAAAAGAAGTTATTTTTATGCTGTGTGTTGTATGACTTTGCTCAAACAGTTTAACACAATTATTGCCTGTTTAAAGCATTACTGTAAGCAGTTTGCCTGCTTTACGTGGAGGAGTGGTTAAGGTCTATCTGTTCTCCACAGCGTGCCTCCCTTCATGAAATCTGGATGAGAAGAGCAGGAGTGGAGAGGAAGCCACAGCACTCCTTGCTCTAACTTGGGCCTCAGTTACATACTGTTTTCTACATAGCTGATAGCAAAGTGTTGACCTATTTACATTTTCAATAAGCTTATGTATTTTTCTTACAGTTAATGTTTGAAATACATGCCTTAGATACAAAAATATCTGCTTCTCCAAAATACAAGTAATTAAGTTTGTCTTGCTTACAAGACAGCGCTGATACACTGTATTTCTGAACTACAGCCACGTCCCTTTTTCATTTGGGAAACTGTTAACTGCAACCTTGAAAATATTTGTTCTAGAAAGAAAAAAAAAAATAAATCACAAGGTTTCTTTCATTGATCAGGATATGGTTGTTTTTTCTCATGTTTAGCCAGATATGGGAATCCCATTGTAAGTACTGAAGTTTTAATTTATGCTGAACAGATAAATGTCAAATAAGGGGGATTTTTTTGACTTACTGCGTCAAGTGTTACAGATTTCATATCCGCAGCAGCTGTTGAAATGTCTTTAAGAACGAAATCCACGTTATCTGGCCACTCTTCCATATGTCCTATTTCCCATGCAGCACGCCAGTGCCTGTAATTCTTCTTAGCTAAATTATGATGATCATCTCTGATTTCATAACTTATAACACGTCCTTTAGGCCCAACTGAAAACAAACAAGAGACACTAGACTCACTACTTTTCCTCCCCTGTAGCAAAGAATCTAGAAAAAATAAGTATAGTAATTAACAGAAGACCTTTAATAATAAGAATACACCTTTAAATCTCACCTTCACTTTAGGAAATAATCACATATGAAACAATCCTAGTTTATTTTTAATTAACATTTTAAAAAATGTGTGCAGACACAGTGCTGGGTTAGTTCTTTTACAAACTGAAATCCATCATTCCACGGATGAGCTAAAACAGAGCAGCAGAGATTCTTCCTACGACGTCCTCCTGATGTAAGTCCTGCAGCAAACGTCAACCTGGGCATCTGTGACCTTGTCAATTGATGGTTCTCCTGCTACAGCCCAGAAAGCTGCAACACTGGTCACTACTCACAGGTGCTATAAAGCTGAGCACCAATGACTACTACTTCTGTTGTCAGCAAGATTTGAAACTGCTGGATTTAAATTTTGTTGCCAACCTTCATTTTCACAAAGTTTTGCTGTTTCCCATGTGCAGTTCTTTCTTCACCTGTTATTCTTAGGATTGGGGAAAGACATTTAAAAAAAACCCAAAACAAAACAAACAAAACCCACAAGAAACACCAAAAACCAAACCAAACCCTGGACATGCTCACTGATCTCAGCCCCTTAGAGAAGTTTTCAAGAGTACTCTTTGATTTAAACGGTCTTATTTTCCTGTTATTGTCTGTAACTGTAATAAATTATTACCTGCTTTAAGCATATATATCCTGTGTTGAAAGTTACCTTATGAGTCCCACACACATTGTTCTTCATAAAGGAAAGCGAGGCACAGACAGCAGCATTATTTTATCCTTGTGTTACTCAAATTTCTCAAACCTATCACACCAATAACTTCTCTTTCTCCTTGCTACTTGTTAATGGGCAAAGGCAGCCTCCAGCTACCAGCTGCCCAGCAGGTGAGGTTCTGTGACCTTTCAAGCTATTCTGGGCTGGAGTGACCAAGCTCCTTCCCTCACCTATGTGATCCTTCTGTGAATCCATTCAGAAAAATAAGTAAAAGAAGGGCTGGGTTTCCCAGCAGCCTCTCCCTGGATCAGATAGAGACCAGAGCCAACAAGTAAAGAGGGAAGTTTTCAGCAGTGTCACCTTTGATCACCTGAAGCAGTTGTAGAATTGTAGCACCAACTCCTTACTACTCAAAACTACCAGTTGGGAATGACTGGAAGAATAAAATCGTTCACTTTGGGGTCAGTCTTACTGCTTCACTGCTTGTTTCAAAAATTTCCTACATTTTGAAATTAACTTCTGGAAATATAACAACAACTAGTTAAAATAGCTAGGCAAAACTCTTCACTGTGAAGCTGTACAGTGTCGAGTTTGCAAACATCATATTTTCCAGTTCTCAAAGATCTTAAAATTGTGGCAAATGGCACATTCTTAACAGAGTCTTAACTTTGTCCTGTTGCATGTCATCTTTCCCAGTTTCTGGGAAAGATTACAGAAGGAATGGACAATAAAACATAAAATGAAAGTTACATGAAGAGGAAGTAATGAAATGTCTTAAATCAAGGAAATATTTGAAAATGAATACTTCTATGGACCTTGTGATGTGTCCACTAGATTTAAATTCTGGCATTTACCTGTCTAGCACTGTATTAAATGATGGCAAAATTAGCCATCATTAGGAAGGAACAAATCAAATCTACTTATTTCTGGGTCAGCACCAAATTGTGTTAAGCTGTGACTAATGATGTCTGTACATGGTGCTGATTAAAGTTCAGAACATTTGAAACCAGCAATACAATCCCGCAGCTTTTCCCCTCTGCTCGAGACAGAGCTGAACTGGGGCACAGGACTCCTCTTCCCACGGCCAGGGCTAACAGTTTGGCAAGGACCTGGATTTTGCTTCCTTGGCACAGTTACAGCTCAATTAAAGTGATCAGAAAGAAACTATTGGACAAGACTGAAAAAGGAGAATGATCGGTGAGTCCCGGTGTGTTTGTACAAAATGGCCACAGTGGACTGAATACCCACGGCAGAAAATAATTTGCTGCATTGAGCAAAGGCTAAATTTTGCCTTAGCCAACATCAGTTATGAAATCTCTTTCTTCAGGTTTAGGGTCAGCCTGTAGGTGAAAATGGGAAAAGCTAATGACTCTGACTTCCCCGCTCTCCAATGGATCTCTGGAAAGAGAAGTGCAGACTTTCATCTTCTCTTTTGTCAGCTCCTAGCTCCCATGGCAGCAATGCTTCCTTTGAGGATAATGCCATGCTATCTTCAAAATCCCATCATGGAACCGGCCAGTTTTCAGCTCCTGATGGAGCTCAGTGCTCTGGTTTGTACCATCCACTGAGTGTAACCGTTCCCAGTTCCTCGTGTTACCTTTAGCAGTATGACCTGGCATCCCAGAGCAGGGCTGGATCAACAGCACTGGTACCATATTGCTGAATACTAAACTTCCTCAGAAAAGCTCATGCTTCTGAAAAGCCTTGCACTGTTACCCTGGAGCACTTGCCAAGGGACAGCAGACACACAGCATGGCTACCCAGGAAAGGAAGAGAAAACTAATTTGCTGTGGTCGGTTTCTAAGACTATTTAACAGACTTGGAACAAAAGGAGAAGCCTCTCTGTTCAGTTTGTCTCCCTCACCTGAGTGCAAGAGGCAGCATCCCCCACAGACACCTGGCTGCTCTAAGTGGGAGTGCCGGTGCATCTTCTATCCTGAACTGCTGAATGCTACAGTACAGCCACAAAGGCAGCGTGGCCTGCAACCATGCCTTACGACACACACTGGGAAACAGTAAAAAAAGAAATGTTAGTGCTCTGGTTTCACAGAAGCTCAGGATGGATGGGTGCTTCTCAGGTTCAGTGACCACTGCTGGCACCCTCAGGTACCCAGCTACTCTGGCAGTGGGCTGCCCACAAAGATGGTCTTTGAACACAAGCCCTCAGGATACGCAACTCATGCTTTTCTGCTGTAGCAGGTCAATCCACAATGAGGATCCTGTCTTTAGCCTAGGAAGTCCTTTAACATTGAGTCAGCAATAGCAGAGACACACTAAAGAAAATATTCGAAAACCAAACTCAAATGCTGCTTTGCTTCTCAGGTGTGTACAAAAGCAGTTCCAGCAACAAATGTGGGGGGTTTGTTTGGTTTTGTTTCCTTTCCTTAAGAAAATTGCTCTGTCAGGAGCCAATAAATGAAATTACTCTGAAATGTGGTCCAATAACAGGATGCCTACAAACGAGGTGAAGGGTGAGGTTTCACCCTCACTCACTTTGCCAAGTGCAAAGGCTCTCTGCCTTTCAGAGAATGGAATTCTCGAACAAACCAGGCCAGGTGTAACATGAATAAAATAAGTGTGTGTCCACATAGGCATTTTTCCTGTTACCCAGCAATCTAATTATTCACATAGTCCATCAAGATGGGGAAAAGGAAACTGAGAAAGGTAAGAGATTGGAGAAAGAGGCTAGTACAGTTAGGCCAAAGCCAACAATACCAACAGTTGAAACTCAGCTTTCTGCGGGCCCTTTAGTAACCCTTTGTACTGCAGCCCTCAAAATGCAGTCAGAATGGCCTGCAGTCCCTGTATTGGCTCTGGCACAGATATAATTTTCCTCTAAGTCAACGAAATATATATGAAACAGCAGCAGAACTTTTAAGAAATGACCTTAAGTGTTTTGTCAGAAGGCAATGCGTGGTAAAGGAATTACACAGCTTCTATGTTTTCTAAAGCCAGGTTCTCACCTGCTCTTGACAGAAACAAGCTCATGGCACCAGACCCACTGCCAATTTCCAAAACAGTGTCTCCTGGGTGGATATCCATCATCATCAAAATAGCACTTATATCCTGCAGATGAGAAAGACACATCACACAGCTAGTGTTGTAAACTAAGGGTGAGGTT